CAGAAGAAAACCAGAACTCCTGGTCTGCATACTTTTTCCAGTGCAGTGCCACAGAGAGTATTGGAGACTTGGGGTTGATTTACTAAAGGCTAATAGGCTGTTCACGTCACAATGAAATTTAAACTCTGCTAAGGGGGAACTTCCCGTTCAAACTGCAAAGTGAACAGCCTATTTGCCTTTGGTAAATTGGCCCCCTTGGATCAACATAACAACCAGACAACAAAGGGGGAGTTCAGTGTACTCAGTGTTTCAGGTGTATTTTCTGAGCACCGATTTCCTTTTGTCTTTGCCCCTAGCTGACATTTATATTTGCATGTAGTGAATACATCGGTTTTCACATGGGGGCTGATTTACTAAAAAAAAGTCATTTTCATTCTATCCTGTTTTGGCTTTAAGTTCCCTAAAACATTTTTGGTTATGTGAAGTCTTGAAATTTACGCTTGCAATAAAACACCCCCCACAGTGTATCTGCTAAATCATAATGTGAGCAAGTCTATATTCAGTAATGATTCCAAAGACAAACACTGATTATTATTTATTGGCCAATTTGAGACCAGCTCCAATTGAGTTCTTGAGATTCCGTATTTTGTCTGTGGCCAGTGCTCACTTATAAAATAATATGAAACTCTTAATCTTTTTCTTAAATAATGAATACAGAACAAACAACTATACATTGCCCAACAAAATATTTCTTTACATTTTTACTCAAGCACTTAGCGTCATCATGTTTCCAAACAGCTCCAACTCCCTCAGTGCCACTTCCCTGAACCTCCTGTCCAGTACAAGATCACAGAGCCGACTCCAGCAACTGTCCATCTATTGGCTTGGAGAAAGGAGAAGGTAGGAGGGGAGAATATTGCCTTGCTGTACCTGTGTATTTGTGGAGACACACACAGCTTACTAGCACACACAAGAGGAAAGGTGTCACTCTAAAACAGGATATCGGGGCCAGTGCTCAGGGGACCAGCTGATTCTGTAGGAAGGTAATGTGGCGGCAGATAATATGGCTAAATATATTTAAATAATTCATGTTTTATTGTAGCTACATATAATGAGGCCTCTGACCCCCCTCGCTCCTTCTTGCATTTTAACCACACATGCAAAAGAGAGCAGTAGTGTGTTAAAGGCCGTCTGACTTTTGTCCTAGAATGTACTTCTGCAACTAAAAATGCTGATGACAGTATCTTGTGACTTAGATCCCCCTTCTCGCAAGACTATTAGTAATCGATCATGAGTTAATGACAAAAGGATGTGACAGGATACATAAACCATAAATGTTAAAATTGCAAATGCTGCTTGTTGATTGGCTTAGAGCTGTAAAGGAAATATGTATATTAGAAATATGTAATGTGACGTAATTGTTGTTATAAATATGTAGTGACCGCCCTTAAAGGGCCACTCAGGTTTTGGAGACAGTAGTCCCCTGGGTCTAGATCTGCGCAGAGAATAAAGAAGATTTGTATTCCTGAAGTCTGTGTCCGGAGTCCATTGCTGGTTTCCAGAAGCTGTTTCCCGCTACATTTCTTGGTGCATTGGCCGGGCAACCAGGTGTGACTACCGAGACAGGTGTTTGCCACCACAGCCCGCTGGGATCGTTGCAGAGCTGGCCCCTCGGATCGCTGCTGTCTCAGGCGCCACTGGACATTTGTCTGGGAGACTACGCTACATCTTCGTCGCCAGCTCCAAGGCGACCCTGACGGCGCCTTGAACCCGGACTTGGGAACCAAACCTTGGGGGCCCCACTTCAGGACCAGGTGAGAGATCTTGGCCTTATGGTTCATAGGATAACAGTCTGTTAGCCAGATAGGACCTCTCGACAGTTCGAGAGTAGGGATGGGCTGCACGTTCGAGTCGAACCTATGGGCTGCACGTTCGAGGTCGAACATAGCATGTTCTAACGTTCGCCGAACATTATGGGATGTCCGCGGTCTGTTCGACCGCGGGACATCCCACAATGCACTGCGCCGTCCGAAACGGTAATTGGCTACAGTCTTGCACCTGACCGGCTCAGTACAAATATAGAGCCAGGATTGGGCAAAGTCACGATGACTCTGCCCAATCATGTCTCACAGCTAAATCCCTGCAGCACACTATATAAGGCTGCTGACACCGCGGCCCTATGTAGTGTGTTGTAGGAGATAGAGAGAGAGGGTTCTAGTATAGTTAGTTACAGCAGATTGATAGAGAGTTATAGATAGTTATAATAAACTTCTGTCTATACCCCTTTCACCACAACCGACTTACTGAACTGGAAAACTCACAATCCCTCCTATAGTGAGAAACCCCAAGCAATGACAGACTTATTCCGCTCAATAATTCAGACCCATAATCCCACTTGGTCTGACTGTCAGCAATTACTACTGACCCTCTTCAATACAGAGGAGAGACAAAGAATAATCCAGGCAGGTATAAAACATATGGCAAGATTGGGGGAACAAAAGTAGTGACCCTGACAATTGGGTTGTGGAACATTGCCCGAAAGAAGACCCCCGTTGGGACCCAAATATTTCATAATTTTTCATGTAATAACATATCAAGGTATTAGAATGTTTTTATCATATATATTTGTTGTACATTTATATTTGAATTTTTTTTCTTTTTTCCTTTTTTTCCATACCTATCTTACATCTATTGTGAACTTCCTTAGTCATTCTTTTGGAATATCTGTAACGCTCCTGATTTATACCGATCCCCCTGAAGAAGCCTACGAGCGTAACGCGTAGGGGACTAACAAAGCAATACAACACTGCATATGAAAATCAAGGAATTATGAATATACATAGTGAAATATGAATTATATATAAAATATGAAATGTGCAAAGAAGTAATAATTTTAGGGTTATAAGAATCATGTATATATATGAGCATTGTTTTTAATATGTATAATTATGCAATAAATCTTTTATATGAACATCAACAAAACTGTACGAATTATAACTATATGAGTACCCTCAAAAAAAACCCTGCACAACCTAGGTTGTATAATGTGTAGTTTTTTGACTAAGTTTGGGGTGAGGCCTCTAATCACCTGGGGAAGTACTTTGGGAAGTGCCTGTTTTGGACTGTATTGAAACAGACCGGGCTCCACTCCATTAGGCCTCCGGGAGCCCATGGTCACTGCCACAATAGGGGGCCACAGGACTGATTTTATGGTGGACACTGGGGCTCAACATTCAGTAGTGACCCGACCAATAGCCCCTATCTCTGACAAACAAATCACTGTTGTTGGAGTCACAGGGAATAAAGTTAACAGACCCTTCCTGACGAAAAGACTTTGTAACCTGGGTGGACACCAAGTCCAACATCAGTTTCTATACATGCCAGACTGTCCCATTCCCTTGTTGGGCAGAGACTTACTTGCAAAACTCAGAGCAAATATATACTTTAAGTCTGACGGACAGGCTGTCCTACAATTACCCCAAGCCTCTGAGACCGCCATCATGGTCCTCAGTATGCCAAAAGAGGAGGAATGGAGAATGTTTACTCTGACAGAAGGCCCACTCCCCATCCCAGGGGTATGGGCAGAGGACAACCTGCCCGGACTGGCCAGACACATCCCACCAGTCCTTATTGAGCTCAAACCAGGAGCTACCCCAGTCAGTCTGAAGCAGTATCCAGTTCCCTGGAAAGCCATAGCGGGAATCCAAGAGTATTTGACCAAATTCCTGAAGTACGGGATCTTAAAGCCCTGCCAGTCACCCTGGAACACTCCCCTGCTCCCAGTGCAGAAACCAGGGACAAAGGATTACAGCCCTGTCCAAGATCTAAGAGCTGTCAACCAGGCTGCGATGACCATTCATCCAGTTGTCCCGAACCCATACAATTTATTGGGGTTGATACTTCACAGTCCTGGATCTGAAAGATGCCTTTTTCTGCCTCAGGGTGGCGGAACAATCCCAACGTATTTTTGCCTTCCAATGGGAGGACCCATACACCGGAGCTAAGGGACAACTGACATGGACACGCCTGCCCCAGGGGTTCAAGAATTCCCCCACCCTGTTTGGAGCAGCCTTAACCCAGGACCTAAAAGCCTTCAGGTCAGACCCTGAGAGTAGGATCCTTCTTCAATATGTAGCTGACCTTCTAATCACAGCTAAAAACAAAGATGAGTGCCTCCAAGCCACAAATGAACTGTTACAATTATTATGGCAGGCGGGCTACAAGGTTTCCTCAAGGCTCAATTGTGCCAAGAGACTGTAAAATACCTGGGGTTCAGAGTATCACAAGGCCAGAGACAGTTGGGAGAGGGTAGGAAAGAAGCTGTTTGCCAGATCCCCATCCCAACAACCAGACGCCAAGTGCGTGAGTTCCTGGGAGCAGCAGGATTCTGTCGGATATGGATACCAGACTTTGCCACAAAAGCCAGGCCCCTCTATGAATCCACTAAGGGGGGTGAGAAAGAACCATTTCTATGGGAGGAACAACAAGACCAAGCCTTTCGAGACATTAAGACTGCCCTGATGCAGGCCCCCGCCCTGGGCTTACCGGATAATAAGAAATTATTTTACCTGTATGTCAGTGAAAAGCAGGGAATAGCCATAGGAGTCTTGACGCAGTACATGGGGTCGTGGCAACGCCCTGTAGCATACCTTTCGAAACAGCTGGACACTGTAGCTCAAGGTTGGCCACCCTGCTTGCGAGCCATTGCAGCCACAGCCCTCTTGGTGGCTGAAGCTGACAAGTTATCACTGGGTCAGGAGATGTATGTCCGAGTCCCACACCAGGTGCAGACCCTGATGGATTACAAAGGAAATCATTGGTTCACTAACAACCGGATGGTCAAATACCAAGCCATGCTGTGTGAAAATCCTCGGATCCATTTAGAGACTGTAAATACCCTAAACCCAGCCACTCTGCTCCCCACCTCACAAGAGCCTCTAGCCCATGACTGCCTCCAGGTAATGGACGAAGTCTATGCAAGTCGGCCAGACTTAAAAGACAGCCCTTGGGAAAACCAGATGTTGAGTATGTA